TTTTTTTTTTTCAATGTATATCAGTGTATAGGATTAAAATTAATATTTTCGGTGGATATTCAGTGTAATGGAAACTGTTCAGATGTGATCGTGTTAAAAGTTCTTCAGCACGTGTTTCGTGTTAATATATATACGAGGTGCGATCGGAAAGTTTCAAGACTGTGTCAATAGAGGGCGAACCGGATGTAGTACGAGCTTCTGCCGCTAGGGGGTGCGGCCTACATTCATAGTGAATCAGTGTGCCAGCCGGCATCATCGAATTAGCATTTGTTTCTTAGTTACGGGCGTTTTGGTAAATTGAAAATTCAGCTAAAGGGAAGGAGATTTGAGACGATAGAAGAGATTGAGGCAGAATCGCAGATGGTGCTTGACAGGCTGACAAAGAAAGATTTCCAGGGATGCTTCCAGGCTTGGCAGCGGCGCTGGGATCGTTGTGTTCACTCCCAGGGGAACTACTTCGAGGGTGATGGATGAATTTAATACCTGAGATAAGTGTACGGGTTTTTATAGGCGCAGTCTTGAAACTTTCCGATCGCACCTCGTACATAATCAGTTGTGCTTCGTAACGCATGCGTCATGACGATTCCACACCAGAATACTCATAGCACATGGGGTTATTATAGCGCACGGCTCATTGATAAGCCAGTGCAAAGTGCAGAGGTCGCAAACTGTTCTTCAAGCACAATTGTGCGGGCCACGACGCCCATCGACGTACATTTCCATTCCCGAACGCAGGAACGCGCATGTCCTCTGGTTATTTTTGCGACACCACAGACAAGCAAAACGAAAGGCATTGGAGTGAGTACGAAAACTTTGTCATCTCCACATTTTTGCTTTAAATAAACCTTAACGCCCGCCTCTGAGAATATTCGTGTTGTTGAATACTTTGATCTGAATGGTTTTAATAAAACGTAGATGAGCCTCGTGGCAGCATATCAACTCGCTACGTTTTATTCTGTGCCAGAATAATTTCAATTAAACACGTATAATAATCCAATACATCATCAGGCTGGATCTTTCCACTTTCCAAGTAAAATCCATTTGAGATAAATGCAAAGTGCACTCTCTTCAATTGCCACTGAATACAGAGTAGCGTCAGGTTATTATTATTTAGTGTTCTGTCTGAGGACAGGTCCATATGAACCGGATCCTTCCATCCTTTTCTCGGACTGGGACCTGTTCATATACGTTCTTGGCAGATGATCCAGAAGTGGTTTGCCATTGCCTTCTTCTGTGTGTGAATGGAGTAATTATTGGGATGCCACGGAGGAAAACTCCGTGTTGCCTAGACCACGGCATTGCCCAACACAAGTTATAAATTCGAACCCGACACCCCAGGATTACAAGGCCCGCGTTCTAACCGCTAGACCACCTCATCTTATTATTATTTAGTGTTCTGTCTGACGACAGGTCCATATGAACAGGATCCTTCCATCCTTTTCTCGGACTGGGACCTGTTCATACACGTTCTTGGCAGATGATCCAGAAGAGGTTTGCCATTGCCTTCTTCTGTGTGAATGGAGTAATTGTTGGGACGCCACGGAGGAAAACTCCGTGTTGCCTAGACCACGGCCTTGCCCAACACAAGTTATAAATTCGGGCACCGCCGGGAATCGAACCCGAGACCCCAGGATTACAAGGGTATGTATGTATGTATATAGTATATACTGATCAATTTGTGACGATGATGATGAAGACAGTCTGATCGTTTTCGTATCGCCGCGGAAAATGCCCACAGAAAACTTTAGGAATCAGATGAAACTTCAAAATTAGGCTCAAAATGATTTTGCACAGTGATAAACATAAATGTCGTCATATTAACCCCTTGAGCCAAAGTTTTTTTTAAAAAAAATTTAATAACTAATAACGCAGTGCGGCTTCTTTTTCGAAACATTTCTTCCCCGTCTTTGGCCTCCGTCTTTTCCAACAGACCCACAAAATTATTCGAGGATAGTCAACATATAAATGGCAGTTACATAACGATATTGTAACCAACTACAAATTTGAAACTGACCCCTAACAAAATGAGGACAGATGTAATTTTGCCAGAGAAGTGCCATAAAGCATTACTCGAGGGGAGGCCTTAATTCAGTCTTTACAGCAAATAAAACACAACACTTTCCAATTACAAAGATAAACTTGTCAATTCTGCGTAGTGGAATAATTATTCCACGCTGTCTATTTTCACAATCATACAAAATCCGCAAATACCGTGTAAAATCCATGGTTACTGGTTATGAAAGCAGGTGGTACACAGTGTTACCACTAGGCTTTATAGAACAGTAATTAATCAGTTATCGTCATAACAACATATTCAGTCCGGCTGCCATGTCATTTCTATATTTTCTGGAATCTTGTGCCCATAAAATTTAAATATTTTCTAATTCTATCAAAATAAAAAATTCTTCTTGGTCTTTCATTGAGAAGAGCTACATTCTTTGCCTATAAGAAATGGGAACTGTTCCAATATGGATACTTCTGAAGACACTGCATTGCTAATACGGATTGTCCAGCGACTTTACTTCTATAACTCATGAGATGATAATGTTGCGTCATATTGTGATTATTATAATTGTTTAATTTTAACCGTCTAATCACAATAAAATATTTTATTAAATATTAAAATATTAAATAGTAAATATTAATTTATATGTTTATAATTGTTTAATTTTAACCGTGTAATCACAATAAAATATTTTATTAAATATTAAAATATTAAATATTAAATTAATATTTAATATTTTAATATTATTATTAATATTAAATATTAAAATATTAAATATTAATTTAATATTTTAATATTTAATAAAATATTTTATTGTGATTAGACGGTTAAAATTAAACAATTATAAACAATTCTATAACTCAATATATTCCTCAGGTCGTTCCCCTGTCATAAACGTCAGACGTTCATGGGTCCGAATCTTAGTGATTAGAGCCATGGATATCAACTGAAGAGAATCTGAACGGCACAAGACACGATTATAGACGTACTTCCAGCGTGACGGATCACCAAATTTCAGCAGTCGCATGACGGAATACCTGAAAAAGCAGTTTGATGACCGACGAACTGGCCATGGTGGTCGGAAGAATTGACCACCGCGGTCACCTGACCTCATTCTACTAGATTTCTTTGAATGAGATTAAATGAAAACAGACAGAACAGAACTACTTTCTCGAATCTTGACTCTGAAAGATGCATAAGATACATGATATATGTAATATTCAGATCATCTTGAATTAAAATGTTCATAGTTTCAAAACCGTTTGCAAACTGGACCGATGATCATACAAAATTTCTAAGCGAAGATGTCAGGGATACAATCTTGAAGTTCTGATTTCAAGCCGCTGGACATTCTGCATATAGAAACTCCCCCGAAAGCAAACAATCCTCGCCTGTGTAATAGTTTATAGTTCTTGGTACGTGAAGAATGTTCTCAATTTAAGATCAGCCTCTGCGAAATTAAGCTATCGCTGATGGCATGCTGTTGCTGGAATTTCTTAGACCCACAGCCCTGTGTTTGTCGGAATACTCTGAGCAGTATAAATGGAGTCACGGCATTCTGCACTAAACAGCGCTACTTAGCCACTGTTAGATTTTAAATCAATTTGGACCGTAACTTCTCTACCCATGAATCATCATGCAATCATGCTACAAATTTCTCATGTCAATAACAGTATTGTAAGATTTTATTAACAGTGTACAGATGTAATATAATTACAGAGTTATCAACATAATCGTTCTTAGTCTTCCAAGAATATTTTCGTGGTTCAGACTCGTAGATATTCCACCCTGAGCATTTCCTTCGAAATTTTATTGAAAATACAGTCATAACTGTCTTCTACCCAGGTAGTATTTGAATTTCTGGTAGACGTGTAAATACGTCGTGTTCGTGTTTGAATTTCCTGGTTTTCGTTTCATCGGGTTTTAGCTTTGTTTTATTATGACAATATCGAGACGAATCATTACTAGGCTTGTTAAAACGGTGTATATATTTAATCATCTCACACTCGCGTGCTAGATGCCCCCAACATCTCAGTCTTTTCATTTGATCACCCTAAGAATATATAGCGAGTATTACAAATTTCAAAACTCCTCATTAAGCAACTTTATCCAGAGTCCTCTTAGATAATTTCTTCTAGGGAAGAAATATGTTCCTCACTGCTATATTCTAAAATGCCCTTAATTTGCGTTCTTTCCTTAATGTAAGAGGCCAAGTTCCATAGCCATACAAGAGCACGGTCAAAATAAAATTTATTTATACTTTAATCGTTTAACATTTGCCGGTAACATTAATTAAAGTTTTGTTTTGTGACGATGTGTTCAGTTGCATTTAGAAACTTCTACTTGGTCATGCAGATCGTGGACCAACGTTTGAAAGCCCCTCATAATCCCGTAAGCTTAGAACCGAGATAAGAGCATCTATTGTTCCTTTTGTGTGTGTGTAGTTTCGGCGACAGACTATGAAAATATCGCCAATGCTAGACCCTGAAGGCGCACTTAATTCTCCCTATAATGAAGCATACAACACGAAGACTTTAGTACAACGGATTTTCAAAATGTCGTATATTCTCTCCAGACAAAGAATTTGTTTCCAAGACTTTGTTTACATTCTCAAAGATAATAGGAACTCCCGCCTGTCCTTCACTCAGTCCCAGAGACACAGCATGGTCCTTCCAGTTTGCCGATAGATCGAACGTCTTTTGGCCACATCCACACAAGCTTCAGTTTGTTTGTTTGTTTGTTTTAATTAATGCCCTTGTGCCTTGGATTGTGTAACTGGCAAATGCCACTGCTCAGAAGTTAGACCCACACAACACCCTCGATAACAACTCGTAAATTTGTTATATATAGATACACGTATTGGTGGTAGGAGTTTTTTTATTTTGGCAACAGCGACATTCTTTTATTTTGGCCTCTATCCCCGACGTTTTTTCCGTCATCTTCACAGACTTGCACTCGGCAACACAACGCTCAGATCCGACCAGCACATCACATTGAATTCGCAATATTACTGTAAGTACGATATTTTTCTGTTTACGTGCCTGTTCAACTTACAGCCAAGAGCTCAGTACATAATAGAGATAACTACAATTACGTGCACGCTATTTAAACAGTATTTGGATACTTGAGTCCTACCTCCGGGAAGACTGTCTCAACACCGTTCAGCAAAAGAGTAGAAGCGACGAGAAAATTTTGGGGCTGAAAGTGAGGGACACTATAATTCTGAGGGAAGAAATCTGCTTATCGGTAACTGTTGTAATTGTAATTTCGAAGGTTATGTAAGTAGAATAAAAATTTTCTTGGATATTATCCATCGTCTAGTAAATATAAAACGTAAAAACGACGTTTCGGAGATGGGACTCTATCTCCCGTCTTCAGGTTCCTACACAGTTGGGCCCACTAGATAGAGCTAATCCCTATCTCCGGACCTTTGTTGGATATTATCCATCGTCTAGTAAATATAAAACGTAAAAACGACGTTTCGGAGATGGGACTCTATCTCCGTCTTCAGGTTCCTACACAGTTGGGCCCACTAGATAGAGCTAATCCCTATCTCCGGACCTTTCTTGGATATTATCCATCGTCTAGTAAATATAAAACGTAAAACGACGTTTCGGAGATGGGACTCTATCTCCGTCTTCAGGTTCCTACACAGTTGGGCCAACTAGATAGAGCTAATCCCTATCTCCAGAGATCGGGATCCCATCTCCGAAACGTCGTTTTACGTTTCATATTTACTAGACGATGGATAATATCCAAGAAATTTTTTATTCAAGGTCCGGAGATAGGGATTAGAAGTAATTTAGTGGCCTCCATAGGGGTGTACATTCTGATAAAATTCAAATCGGGAGGGCTGCATAAGAAGAAATCGGCAACACAAAAGCTCTCACAGGTTTCCATAACTTGAGTGCCATAAACTTTATCCTTAAGTTTCAGCCGCTGGATTCCAAAGATTATCTAAATAATATTTACAAATTCAGTCCGTACCGCAAAGAAAACACCACATGTCCCCGTTACAAAGATCTACTTGTTAACGATGCTTAAATATTTAAAATCAACTTGTGGTTGTTTACGACTTCAATTTTACAAATTCAGTAAAAACTAGAAATTAAATGGTGGACTTCAGTAGACTTATAAAATTGAGCATATGACCCACGAGTTTAATTTTTTGTCTCTGAAATAATTGTATACACAAAGATTTAAGCAACGGTACACCACACACGAATATAATCGCTTGACAAGTTAATTTATGGCGACTGAGAGTGACAAGTTTTGTGAAAAACATTGGAATGTTATTTTAAGCAGATTTAACTTCAGTGGCGTGTACTGTAAGATGTCAGCGAACTTTCCTGTTTTAGTCAGTTCGTTGTGAAGTGTTATAGTTGAATTATATTGTGTATTTCAGAGAGCATGAAATTAGAGGAATCAGTTACTCCATGATGAGAGACAAAGAAACGCATTAGTTCTACAATATGAAGTGTATGTGAAAGTAAACATCAATAATTTAACGCCACTAGACTTATTCTGAATGTAGGTTCAACCACACTGCTATGCGATGATAATGTTATTTGTGTGACGTCACGCAATAGAATAATACGGCATCCAAATTGCGACGCTTATGTCGGAGTTCAACTGCTTTCACCAAAGAGAGTGATATTTAGACAGCTAAAACAATGTTTACTTCCCAGTGGTAATTTTTTTAATGGTGTGTTTAGATTTTAATTAACAAGACTTGATTCGTTACGAATTACAATACAATACAATGTGAGAGGACGGAAGTTTGTTGAATATATTAATAGAATTTTTGCTGTTGTGGAAACTGGCAGTATGTCCACAGTGTTAACTAAAGAACAATATAAATTATAACAACAATTGTTAATTTCTCAAATGTTTGTATCTCTCCGTTCACACACGTTCACTCCCTTGGGATACAAACGGTCTACATTTTCTAAGTAACATTTTTCTTATTTAAATGTCTCATTATATTTTATGCTAACTTTCTCCAAATATTCTAAAAAGTAACGTTACAAGGATAATCGAATTATAAATTATTTTCCTTGCGTTTTTTTAATATTTACCGAATCGAAAACTGTTTATTATGAGAATAGTAAATCTTCGAAGTATTACCTTTGTGTGTTGTAATTCTACGAGTGACAAAATGTATTATTTAGAACTTAAGATGGAAAGCAATGTTGGTTCTTACTTAAGCACAGACAGGAAGACATGTGAGGTAGTAGAGGTGAGTAGTCATCCGACATGTACCCAAAGGAAGAGGCCTGGGACCCACCGGATAGTAGGCTGTTTCGACCCCAGAGCTGACTAGACACAGTGGCAAACAGAAATATTTTCTATATGAGATTCGAAGATCTCGTGGCTATTATAATAATGACGTTGATCTTCTGGTTGCAAAGCCAGAAGACCCCAGGTAGATGACAGCGTTTCGTATGAAAATTCTGCAACCAGCCCTCAATATGACTCTCAAACGTTACTACCTGCCTAGAAGTGTACATGGCGTTACAAACCAAAAGGCCAAACAATTACATAAATATTTTGGAATCAAAACCGGTTGTCCAGCCCTAGGTCACCGAATAATTCCAGCTCTTTGAAGCTTTGATATGCTTTGAAGCTTTGATATGCTATTTCGTTGTCCAGTACACACCCAAAACCTTCAACATAGACTCCCATTATAAAATTTCACAAAAGATGAAAAAAGCTGACAACAAGATACTAACCCCTTCCCCCCGGGAAAAAATCTTGAAGGCTCTTGAAAATGCGTACACGCATATGAATGCTAGTCACTTTTGAATTCCGCTTTAAGCAGGTTGCTCGTGTTTGCAATCATGAGGACTGCTGTTCTGTGCGGATGTCTGCTGAGTCTTCTGTTGCTGAACAGCGGCATAACAAGTGAGTCCACATGCTCTCGTCACCCGGCCACCATCTTCAAGCTCGCCATCACGAGTTTCCGCAACAAGACAGGTCACTGGACGGCTCAGGTTAGTGAAATATCAGTAAACTTCTACCACACTAGACGGGGCAACAACCCAGAAGACAGCCATCTTCACGTGCTCTTCTTAACCACAAGAGAACTGGAGGAACTTTGAACTGAAACGGAGTATTTGGAAGAACAGCTCCCTATATAAAGAAATAAAGTGTTTGGACTCGAGTAAGGAATTTAAGATCGCAAGTTCCCTAACCATATACTGAAATATGTTACGACTGGACTACGTTAACACTGATTACGAGGTCAAAACAGGTAACATTTAGTGTAGTCTTCAACTAGTGATGGAATATGACGAAATATGGTCTCCCGTACCACTGCACGTGTTTATACTGTCCACAGATCACGAGAAAATCCCTGCAAGGGGAAGTTGTTTCTGGTGCGGTGCGGGGGGAATGTTTACTGCCTGATGGACTAGAGGGCTGCTATTGGTGGGAAGTGTGATACGTCAGAGTTTTACGCTACTACACAGACTGAAAACATCAAGCAGTTAAGAGTAGCGTGTAGTGAGCGCACTTTTAATGTGTTCTGTGGGTGTTACGATAATATTCTAGATTAAATCGCTGTGCCGCTGTGAGGTAATCTTAAAGCTGTACACATCACAACACATGAAAGCCTGTCGTCTGTTGTTCGTTCAGTGGTTGTGGAACGAATGCTTTTAGGATGGATCGTCACTCACCGCGAAATCTTGCGCATGCGCGTATATCGAATTCCTAGCAGGGATTTTCTCCTGGTCTGTGAACTGTACTTGTATCGTAATACGCATTTAGATGTAGTTACAGCTGGAACACAAAGGGTCGTAATACGCATTTGGATGTAGTTACAGCTGGAACACAAAGGGAACGAGGACGGTGAGGTGACCCGAGAAGTAGACTTCGACCAGACAGTCACTCCCCACTGCGACGGTACGGAAACCGTCTTCATTGTGGCTACCATCACAAGTACGTCGTCACTTCTTCGATTTTCGAGTGGTTTAGAGCGGGGGCACCTAAAACGAGCGGGCGAACGACGCCACCGGAAGGGGGTGACGCGTAGGAGACGTATTCTGCGATCTCAAAGAACGTGAGCGACAGCTTCAAATGCGCAGACACTGTTCATCAAACGTGTTCTCACATCATGATATATTCAAGTTCTAAAAATTTTCCCACAATATTATTTAATTCTTTCCGCTGTCTCCTTAAACAGTTTCATCTACAGGATGTCACTATTAGTCTCAATGACACTGTCCACCTAGACTGATTACCTGCTCAGTCACTGTTTTCGTAGTCTCAACCCTATCCATCACTTCTCAGTTCTTTCAAGTGTTCGCATGGCGCTAACCATTTATACTTTCCCTTTCTTAAAGGAAAGTTAATCCATCTGTTCACCAAGACCTTTCTCTTCTACGGGGGTTTAGATACACATGGTTAGACAGCAGACACAAATTACTGTGAAACATTCGTTAAATATTTTACAGCTCCCAACTTCGTAAAATTTTGTAAACACATAAATTCCCTTTCAGCATGTCACACTGAGAAGGAAAACGATTTTCTGTTAGACACTGCATCATCTGATCTTTGTGGAGTTAGCAGAAGAGACTTTCTTTAGTAAAATACTGTGGTACGACGCATTTAATTATTTTTCTGAAGAAGTGTAATTAATTTCTCTGTTAGTAGGATTTGAGGTTTTCACAGCGGCGAGCATGGAGATGGCTCTCTTATGGGTTGTAACGCCGTGTTGCCTGGTACATGGTTTCAGAGGCTCTCTCTGCCTCATCGCCCTAATGGTGGAAACAGCAAATACCACCGAAACGTTGGTAAACTTCTACCAAACGCTTAAATCCAGAAAAGAGACATCTTCTATTTCTCTCTTGTGCACTTTTCGTCTCCTGCACATATTTCCACGGAAACAAATTGTTCGGGTCGAAGACCTTCTCTCATTCCTTATGAAATATTATTGATTTCTATCCTTACTACTCTTTAAGACTTGGCGTTACTATGTATATGATTTTTAAGCACATGAAATATTTATATCCTATTCCATATAATCTCGCAAGTATGAAATTCGTTTCTTCCATATATTTTGGCTTCCTACCAGAACTGTCATGTTACTTTTTGCCCCTCGATTTAATTTCCAATGGCCTAAGATTTTTTTATGTGGGTCTTACTTCATTCGTGAAAACAGTTCGATTCAGCAGCTTTATTTATTTAAGAGGACACAACACTCGTTTCTCGATTTCACAGAAATCATGGACCGTGTTCCTAACCGTTGCTGCATTCACTGCCTTCGCCCTTGTTTTACGTACGAACAGTAAGAAATTCGAGTTGCTACAACTGTTCTTTTGTGCGCCTGTCGAATAAGAATTGCGAATGGTCCAGTTTCATCCACATTTTCTACAGATTTCGTATAATTACAAATTATCAGCATTCTCTGACTACACATTTTCTCATTCTGCAGCTCTGATTTTGCATGAAGTACGTTGGTTAAACTTCTAAAACACTAAAATTTTTGTGAAGAAGTCTCAAAAAGAACTTTGGATTGCAGGAGGACCTACAATACCTCTGTACAGTGTCTAGTGTCCCAGTTCTTTCACGACTCACAAATGCGTTCTGACTGACGGTAAAAATGTAAAGGCTGTCATCCGCACAGTTTGAGTGCCCCCGCCCGAAATGTCAGTTGCCAACATTGCTGATGACTGACACAAAAAGAATCTGCTGTGTAAATATTCAAAAAGTTCGCAGTGAAACTGTTTATTATTTTACTCTGTTCCAATCTTCCTCAAATATAATGCCCTCTTCAAAGACCGTACTCGGATGTAATTTAAAATATATTGAAATATTTCTACACATAGCAATTTGTCAATTGAGACCATCGATGTGTAATACGCTTTTGAAAATTATTCAATGACATTTTCAAATATACAGAGATTCATCTGCAGAAAATGTATTGATTTACATTCCCAGCTACGTTCAGCTTCTTCCAAAATGCTTAACTGAAATGAAAGTCACCGAATGTACTGTACAAACGAGAAAACAAAAGCACATCACATGGGGACAAATATCGTATTCTTTCATGAAACGTTAGTGTGGTCATAGCATCTACCTTGAAATTCTGCAGAAATAATGTTACAAATCAGCACGAACAGGAACAAAATTACTTTGAATCATTTCTATATTCGTCTGTTTCTTGTGAAATTCTGTGCTATCATAAGTGTGAGAAAATAACATGGAGTAACCATTCTGCAGCCCGAGTCGATTTTCCAAGTACGAATATTGGGATTTGTGAACTTCAAACAGCAATAAACAGATGTTCTTGTGGCGCGTTGTCGTAGAACAGCTCTGGTTCGGCAGAGTAAACGAGTTATCTCAGGGGGAGGTATCACGTGGGACGTCAGACAGAGTCACTGATGGTCAGGTTACAATATGGGGACTAGTAACAAACTGGTTCAGGTGTTATTTAGATACAATCAAACCGAACAAAAATAAGACACATGCAAATGGTTAGAGATTAAGAAACGAGAAATAACTGAGGTGCATGATACCACACGCCAAACCAACCCGACGTCACTTACGGCTCACCCAATCGTTCTCTCCCTTTGCAGCAGCTCCTGAAGGCATCGCCGTTTTAAAGCCAGAACGTCGGCGAACTGTACCACCAGGTTACAAAAGACTGTCGAACTCGAACTACTTCAAGGAGTACCCAGAAGCAACAAAATGGATTGAAGCACGTGACATCTGTGAACGGGAAGGGGCCCATCTTGCCATTATAAACTCTGAAGCCGAGGGAAAATTCGTCTCGTCCCTCTGGACCAATAAATTATTCCTTTGGGCCTTCATTGGCACCCATGACCTCTATGAAGAGGGCAATTTCGTCACGATACACAGTGAGTATACGAAGTTGAACCTTTCTTACAATCGCCTCTGCGAAGGCAAGGAGAGCCAACATATGACTACCGCTTCTCATGTTCCTGGTAACTACGTGATCTGTTCCCATATGCTACACCGCCACTCAGCTCCCAGTCAATTCACAGTGGCTTCCTAGACATCCCTCCCCAACAGACATTTCCTCAGAAATATGGCAACTGTAATGAGTCCCGGAACATTTTAAAAAAAATTGCAACAGCCGATGTGGGTTGTCCCCGAAAATATATTTTCGTTTCCTGAAAATTTGTTTTTAGGATTATAAAAACAGTCAAAATCGAGGTTTGTCATTCTTAATAAAAATTTGATCAAATCTTCTTGTCCCGAAGTAAACTCTAAATACCGATCCATTTCTACGCAGAAGGGTATGAAAGGAGAGCAAGCTGTGTTGTTACTCTTTGCAACGAGTCATCGGGAATGTCTAAGAAACAACGAAGGACGATATTAAATTATTGCCGTATGAAACAGACACAGTCCCTAGATGATGATGTTTATGAAGACGATGATATTGCAGCGATGTAATACGTACCAAAATACAGTTCCTTCTGAAATCTCCTAGCCGATATAAAATTTAATCCGTATCTTAACGTCAGTTCACAAGCGTCACCACAAGTATCGTCCACATACGCACAGAACAAATGACACTTGACGTAAAATCATAAGAGTATCTCTTCAACATTGTCTTCTTGCTAAAAAAAATCATCGTCACTAAAATGCTCGAGGACACATTTTAAACGCAAGTCCTCTTTCCTCTTCGCGGTTTCATTTGTTTATCAGAAACTGACTGTACCATCAAATACAGGACAGTGACATCGTTTCAATACAAATTACAAACAATGCTGTGTAAAACCTACGACAAACGATGAAATGCTTCACAACTTGTTAATTTTAACAAAGTTACATTCGCAAACGACAAGCGGTATTTTACTTTGCTAAGGTTTAATCCCCATCTGCACAAATCATGCGTTCTTATCATCTTCTTCAACTAACATAAACTACTAACAACACAAATGATTTTGACTTAACTCTGTAGCAACATGTTCCACTCATTCAGACGTGGCCATGATATGGAATTCCGTTATAATTATAAATAAATAAAATCGTTCACTACCTCTTTGTTAAATATCGCACAGATACATGTATCAAATTTACAAACTTGTAAATGATCAATTACCACATGACTTTTATATTATGTGTCGCTTGCAAGTTCTTTCCTCCGCCATGTTAGAATTATCGGCTGCCAATAATTAAAAATTACACTAACTAACTAACTAACTAGATGGCTTACCGAACCCGAAGGTTCATCACCGAATTAACCAAAGCCCTCCACCGGACCCTGTCCTGGGCCAACAAAATCCAGTTTCCTTCAACTCCTATCTCCCATAGATCCCGCCTGAGATTATCCTCCCATCTACGTCTAGGTCTCCCCAGCGGTCTCTTCCCTTCAGGTTTCCCAACCAGTACCCGGTGCACACCTCTTGTCCCATCCATGCGCGCTACATGCCCCGCCCATCTCACTCTTCTCGACTTAATCACCCTCACAATACTGGGGGAGCAGTACAGATTAAAAATTACACATTTAGGATAAACCCCGAGGGTACAACGTCCGTACAAAATCTCATACAAATCCATTCAACAATTCTGGAGACGTATTATACGGCCAGAAAGACATTGTCAGCCCCATAATAAGTGTGGTATACCCTGTAAATGCAGACATACGTACATATGACGTTACCACAATAAAGAATATAGAGGGTGCTGTGCTCTCAAAAAGGACTCTGCTTAGTTAGTTGGAAAACATAATATTCTTCTGTTCCCAGACCAGACGCTTCAAGAAGCTGGCTACAACAGGTGGTCTCCAGGAGAACCTAATGGAGGGAGTACAGAGAATTGCGGTGTAATTTTCCAGAACGGGCTCCTAGGAAACTACTTCTGTAGTCTTCCCCTGCCCTTCTTCTGTGAATTCGAGCCTGAAGTAGTGTCGCGGTCATTTTCTTTTCGAGACGAAGCATAATTATTAATAATAACAATTAAAGTGTTCCTTACTAATCTACAGCAGCAAAGATTTGGAAGTGTGTACTGAATCCATTGCTTGCCACTCACTAAGCTATCTCGCATTTCTAATCTCTGTTCGAGATGTTGGATGTGAACATCTTCTTTCTCCCTACATGTAATACTAACTATTATATGCTTAACAGAAACATAAATTACGTCGACACAGAAATATATACATGTGTCCCAAAAATATGTATCCATTTTATTATAGTACGGAATATTAAAGATCTTAAATAATGCATCTCGGCACAACCTGTCTTTACGTATATACGATATCTTCCCAGAATTCCCGTGTGTCATGTTTCCAAGCTACGCCGCAACATGGCGTTCCATTGGTTTACAAGTAACCGAACAGCTTATCAAATCAAATGTTTCAAAACAAATACACCAAAAGTTGAACACCCCCAACCAACTCAATGCTAAAGCAAGTAACACCAAGTTTCCTACCTGCGTCACTGGACGCCGTGGCTCCCGACGGCCGTCAATAAACAACACATGGCTCATCACACAAAATTACATTACTTGGACATATTTACATACAGATTAAGCTTACCATGCTTCGTCCTTCCATACTCGACGCTCGGTTACACCAAACAAATGGAATGTTTACATCACTTTCACTCAAAATCACACGAAACTCTCGTAACGACAAGTGAACTTTTTAACCGCACAGCGACAAGGAAAGAATTACGTAGAACAAAGTCACGTTGAAAACACGACAGTTCACATCAGGCAGGGGCCAAACATTAACTAACAGGGGCTTCAGGCAGCAAGTCCTAGGGAAGCACGTGATTGGTTGAGAAGGAATGACGTCATAACGGAAGACATGTTTGTGGATCGGAAGGAAACAAAGAGAAATAATTTTGCAGTCGGCAGAATTTCTATCAAATCACGACGCGCAGTAATACATATAGTCGATATTGCTGTAGGATAATATCGGAAAGTCCATCACTGGAGGATGTTTTTGGTGACCTGGTTTGAGAGTATTTTTACCCATGGAAGGGGGAGCCTGGCTTTTCATAAAGCGTGTTACTACTGAACATTACTCAGTTCTAATATAGCAATTCTTCCTTTCGTAGAGATATTATCCCTCCAAATTATGTGATGGTAAATGATCTTGTTAAATATTTTAGGAAGACCATAGCGGAACCAAAATTTTAACGGAATTTACCATGTGAGTACCCGTTTTATTTTAAACGTGAATAGATCCCAGTTTAAGTAGGTTCGTGTGACAAAAAGTGGAGGTCAAGGTCAGTGATGAAGATATTGGGCACTGATTAAAGACACGAATGGGTTTACATATGTGGCTTGCTCGAGTGTTGGCTCTAGCGAAAGACACAGTGGCGACCAGAGAAAAACGACATATGTACTTAATGAATGCGTTTATTCTGACAGAGATGTTGCAGAAATAATTTCAAATCCGTAGAGGTTTGAGGCCTTGGTACATGACAGTCAGAGCAGTAAACTTCACGTAGTGAAGACACGTATTGTTACTTTCATAGCAGTTTCAAAAGAAAGAGCCCTTAATGCTAAATGTATCGGCGCCTACCTGCAGAATTATCTACATTTCTCGCATGCAGGAACAGTTTTTCTACAGAAACTGAAATAATCATTATCTTTTCTTTTTTTTTCCAGATACATCCCAAGTTCGTTTCGTGTAACAGATCCCTGCCACGTTGTTATGCTAAAACGTATTTTCTCTCAGCCTATTCGCTCTCCCATTCTAGAACAGCAGATAAGCCAACAGGAGGATACATTACGCTGCAAACCTGCCACATCACAGACAGAGCCCTTATCTAATATCCCGTATATTTCAGTGCCAGTTCCTCTCCACGCCATATTCTTCTTGAATTTCTTTTCCAAGTTGAGATCTGCTTGCTTTCATTTCCATCTGCTTACATCCAATTAAACACAAGGCTGAAGGCAATTCAATAATTCAGTTAACCCATATCTTAATGTGCCTGTCAATAGTTCAAAAGCCAATTACATGCATGCACTAAAATTAAAAACATAGTAAAACAGAATATAAAGCAAGAAAAAGCTTACATAAAAGTAGTTTCAATATCACGGAGAAACCATACAACGCTAGAACACAGAAAACGGGATCAGGCGAGTATAGAGAGCTCAGATCTCGCAGCGTAGCAAAGCTAGCAACTCTGTACTGGCGACTTACAGCCCCTCGACAAGGGGCTCGTGTGAAGTCATTCCGTGGCTTTGAAGAATGCAATCTTTATGGCTGCTACAGTGTGCATGCGTGTCCAAAACAGACGAGCGACTAATTTGGCCTTACGATAACATTAATAAGGATGAGGATATAAGACGTCTCCTCCTTAAATTAAGAAATGTCATATAACTAAAGCATCTTCATTTATATTTATAATCACAAAAGACATTAAAAGTTTGGTGTAACATAAATCTGCAAAATTCTATAATTTCGTTCCAGCCAATCTTGAATCAAAAGAGGATGGAAAAAAACAGCTATCAAGAGTAGAGAAAGATGAAGCAATGTGCGGGATTTGTGGCACATAGACATCAATAATGTTAAATGACAAACAGCAGATTAAAATAAAACGTAGCAAGACAAAATTTACAAATTTTTCTCGTATAATTTCTATTTCACTGGAGCCAGTGATGTAAACTTGTTCCGTAGGCCAGAGGCACACTCTACCTTTCGTCTAATCAAAACAAAACATAAAATAACTAGACCAAATAAGAGAAAATGTAATTAACAAAACGAATAAGTCCTTAGCACCTGAGAGTAAACAAAGTCGAGATGACAATAAAAATAAAATTTACTGGCCAACATAACATCCTGGTATTTTATCCACACAAAGGCCTACTCTAATTTCCTATCGTAGATGTAAACTGATCCCTCTCTTTATTTAATCATTAACACGCACGTGCTGCCATCGGCGGTATATTTGAACTACGACTGATATCCAGAGGGTTTCTCGTACCAGATATCGGCAACTAGCTATGTGCGCCCATAGAATTCTTTACTACAGTGCGTTCACTGATAAATTTGAATGCGTCACTCCTTCTATAATCCATGGCGTAACAGCCCTCTGAGAGCCAAAGCCGAGTAACTGGCTACTGGCCTCACGTTCACATGCCTAAGCAGAGGTAAACGATCATCCAACCAGATACAGAGTGGCGTGTGGTCAGTACGACGAACCCCCAGCTATTGCTAGCTTTCATGACCGGATTGCTCTACTCATTGTAGCTCCCCAATTTCCCTCCTTCTATAGTGTTATGAAAATCCCGCCACCGCGTACTATTCTAATCTAACTCGGTCCACTCCGAAACCATATTATGCAAATAGCACAATGCTTAACAGAACAGACTGAAAACTGGGACACTGCCCCCAACAGAGTCACAAGCAATGCCGTCCACCCAATCTGCTATCCAACGATGAGCAGAACACTGAGATGACCTCTCACCCTCGTCTACAGACAAGGCCTAAAGTGCGTATACGCACAGACGTAACTGTTGGACAAGGTTGACGCTGTGCTGACGTGGACACACCTGTATATTATCGAGACAAACCGGACGCATGTCGGAATTCGAATCCGTGTGCCGTGGCCGGATCCATAACGGAATGAATACACGGAAAAAGTAATTCTGCGATGAGGTTCAACAAGCCTTGTCCACAATTATCAGACGCTGTTAATTTGAGACGAATCTCATACGATCGTACAAGATACGATGGACTCTGCTGAGTTCGGTCTATTAATTCCGAAACATTCTTCGGAAGACGTATAGCCTACACATATAAAGAAATAGAAGTGGATGTCCGATTGCAGCAGCCACTCGTCTCCAGTTGTATTCTGTCTTGATCCGCTCGAAATCTGAAAACGCGGTATCGAATTCCGACAGGGATAACTTTATGACAGAGGCCGTGGTTCTGTGCTACTCCTCTGTCGATATAAAACTTGCGATGAGCTGATCAACCATCCAAGGAGCGCTACCGAGTTCTTACAACGAGATTTAATGTCCCACGGCGACGAGTATAAAGCACCCATCTCTGAAACTTCGGCGAACTTCCATCAGACTACAAGGATCAACAACCCAGGAGATAACCACCTTCCTGGTTTTAAAGATTCATGTTTCACAATGAATTCTGTATGGGAACATGTCAGACAGGCTACCACGGTCGCTGAAGGAGAAAACGTAAACGGGGTGTAATATGTAAGCCTCCGTGAAGTGTAATATTTTAGTGGCAATATCAACTATGGAATTCATGACTCAGTGTAGTGTAGCACCTGAATTATTGTCTGTATTAAACAAATATTCTTGCCAGTGCGAATTTCAAAGCTGTTGTCGAAATTGGAGCGCCTCATAGGTAATAAGCGATTTTATTTAAATGTAGCTTGTTAAATACAATACCTTTAAATGTGTTATAAGGTGGGACAGATCTCGCAGAGGTATCTTACATGTGTATGTAAAAATTATGGGAAGAACGTGAGATGCCCACTGTCCTTCAAATGTCTTTATCTGCAAGGAGAGGCTGGCTCGATATCTAAATAAATAATTATGTAATTAATTGATCCATTTGTGGGACAATGTATACTAGAATATATTTTAATTTTGTTATGTATGTTTACAAAGAGGTGTGCACCGGGTATTGGTTGGGGAGTCTGAGGGGGAGAGACCGCTGGGGAGACCTAGACGTAGATGGGAGGATAATGTCAGGCGGGATCTATGGGAGATAGGATTTGAAGGAGACTGGATTTTGTTGGCCCAGGACAGGGTCCGGTGGAGGGCTTTGGTTAATTCGGTGATGAACCTTCGGGTTCGGTAATCCATCTAGTTAGTTAGTTAGTTATGTATGTTTACAGCCTATTAAAGTATATCTTACCAGAATTGGGTGGGAAGATGTGGACTGGGTTCATTTATCTCAGGACAGGGAGTAGTAGAAGGCTCTTGTGAATAAGGTAATGAACCTTCGAGTTGTATAAAAGATGGAAGATTTAAGCAACTATTAGCTTTTTAAGAAGGTATTTGCTCTATGTGGTTTTTCAGCTAGGTACGTTTATGAGCTGCTAAATGAAAAGTTCCATCAGTTATCGCTCTAAAAACTTCCCTGATCAATCGTTTCAGAAATCCTTATCAACGTCACTTTTCAGGACCTTACATTATGTGTGCGATGTATGTTAAGCCTTAATCTGCGGTTGCGTGACATCCATATAAAACTTTGCTATAATCAGTCCATTGAAGGAGGTATCCACAATTAAGTTCGCTTTTCCTTG